AGCAGCCGCCGCCCGTGACACTTATCTTCTAGCCTAGGCAGGTGACCTTGGTACCTTGTTGCTGCTTTCCTGGAGAACGTAGACCTGTTAAGTTAGGTGGGCTTCTGCTTCTTCCCTGATTGGCCCAGGTCCATCAGCGGGACCCCTTTGAATTATGTATAACTCCCCATTGTGCGCCCTTGCAGTCAGCTCTAACACAGAATGTATGCACAGATGACCTGCCTTTACTGTACTCAATAAACTTCACTCTTCTGAATGGGAGTTGTTGGGAACTGATTGCTGCGGGACTCTGACAAGTGTGTGCATAGAGAGTACAGATAAGATAATACCGATGTGAGAACGGTAGGACTTAACAGATGAGTGTTCTGAGAAAGGTGATCAGGGATGGGAATGAATTTTTGGAAGATGGGGGTAGGATTTCTGGGGGTTATTCTTGGAGGAAAATGCATCTGTAAAAATTAATGTATTTGCAGTACATGTAGGGGGGCAGAGTATTTTATTTATTTATTTATTTATTATTTCGGTTTCTATCCCGCTCGAACCCCCCATGGGTCTCTGAGCGGCTTACAGTATTCTTAATTAACCCTATCTATGGCCACATTTCAGTCGGGGTGGGGACTACCCTACCGGCACCCTGTGGAAGGAGTTGTTGTACTTCTCACTCCTGGTTCGGCTGATGGCTTGGCGCGTTGTTCCGTTCTCCTTCTTGTGATCCTCGGTGTCGGCTGGTAGGTCCATTCGGTGCACGGCTCGTATCGGCGAGGCCTTGGCTCCGTCCATCGTGGCTCCGCCTGCGCCTCATGCTCCCCTGCGTCTCCTGGCTCCGCCTGCTGACGTCTGGTCACAGCTTGCCGATGTTGTGCTCGATCGCCATTTTTCGCCGCTCGCCATCGAAGTTCTTCACTCGCCACCGATGTTCCACCCCCTTAATGGGGAAGGGTGCTCCCTGCCATCTAAGGCAGGTACCCGATTTATCTACTCGCATCATGATGTAATTTATTGCTTTCGAACCGCTGGGTGGGCGGTAGTTATTTATTTAGAAAATTTATCTTCAGAGGTCAACTTAGGACAGCTTACAGAAGTTAATAACAAAATAAAAACTAAAAAATAAAATTGTCAGTATTAAACTTAACTTTGGCTGCAGTGTGTTTTGGAGTGGCTTTGGAGAAGAATGTGAGAAAAGCCGTGCTGATTCAGAGGCAGCATTTTAATTTAATTTCCACTATTGGTCCTCCAGAGGCCTCCAGAAGCTCTTAACTGAAGGACTTCTACTGTAGCTTGACCCTAGCAACCAGGTATGCAGAGCTGTGCTGCTCCTGAACATGGAGGGTCTATGTTTCTGTGAATTCATCTAAGCCAGTGGCTACACCTTGTTGCAGAAGACCCCTTAAATTAATTATGCAGGTGATGAGAAAAAGAGGAGGAGGAGGAGACTGGTGGTGGTGGTTGGATTTATACCCCGCCCTTCACTCGGAGTCTCAGAGCAGCTTACAATCTCCTTTCCCTTCCCCTCCCCACAACAGACACCTTATGAGGGAGGTGGGGCTGAGAGAGCTCTGACAGAAGCTGCTCTTTTTCAAGAACAGCTCTGAGAGAACTATGGCTTGCCCAAGGCCATCCACCCAGGTGCAAGTGGAGGAGTGGGAATCAACCCCAGTTCTCCCAGATTAGAGTGCACGCACTTAACCACTACACCAAACTCGCTCTCGATAGGTTGCCTTCCCTGAACCTCTTGGATTTGTTTTCCTTTTATCTTTGCAAACTTGAGAAGTCTGTGGGGCTGGTGAGAAGTAGGGGAGGAACAACCGAGAGTATGGCGGTGCAGCAGATGCTGCAGTGATCAGTTCTGGAAGAGGACACTGAGGGGATTTGGGCTCATGGATCTGCATTGCTTGTCTCCATCTAGTTCAGCATTCTGTTTCCAGCAGTGGAAAGCCCAGAGCTGGTGTCGGCATAGCCTGAAGTAGGGCCCACGACTGTCACCCACACACACACACACACACACACCCTGCCCGCTCACTCACTTGCTAGAGCTCTGCCACCAGGCCTGTAGCTAAAGTGGGTCCCATGGGGCCCGGCCCCCTAGTGTTTCTTCCGGAGCCCCTCCCTCCCAGGCTGGCTCCAAACTGAATTAATTTAATTAACTTTGATTGAATTAGATGTGCCCCCCTGAGGCCCCTTCCCCCCAAAGTCCCTAGTTATGGGGCTGTCTACCACCATGCCCCCAGATGCTTGCATTGCTAGTGCCCCTGGGAAAACATTGCAAGCAGCGGTGAGCATTTGCAATGGGGAGGGGTTGTAAGTGGGTTGGGGAAGGACACACTGGCAAGTGGGAGGCCTGAGGGTGGGTGGGGAAGAATGAGGGTGTGAGAGGAAGGCCTGACGGTGAGCAGTGGAGCTGGGGGAACTCTGTCCAGGGCCCCCCAAAACCTGGAACCAGCCCTGGGTGAGCCTGATGCCTCTGGGAAGCTGATAAACAAGGTGTGAAGGTAACAATAAGAATAGAAGAACTCAAGACGAGCCCTGCTGGATCAGACCAGGGAGGGTCCATCTAGTCCAGCCTCCTGTCTCACACAGCGGCCAACCAGTTCCTCTGGAGGGCCAACAGCAGGGCATAGGGGTTGCCTCCTGATTCTGGGATTCAGAGGCTTAGTGGAGGTTCCCCTCAGCCACCATGCCTAGTAGCTATTGATAGACTTATCAATATTCCTCAGTGGTTC